AATCTTCCAGAAGCCCCACCACTGAGGAAGCCAGGAGCAACACCTGGCTTTGGTACACGTGTGAAGAGAAGCAGCAACTACCAGTAGAAATGTGCTTATGAGAACTAAGACCTGAAACTTTAAACGGAAACGTTTAAAGAGATGGGGATTTGATTTTAGACAGGCAGTGTTAAGGTGAGGGGAATGGCTTTAAGTCCCAGGAGGAGTGGACTACACCCCTCTGCCATGGGGGATGTGCCCTAAAAGCACAGGAAGAATTACTCCACTCCCAAATCCCTTATAAAGCCCAGAATGTTCTATCCTTCTTGCATTGCTATTCATTATTTTCTACTGCATTTATTTTAATAGCCCTTCCTATTGTACCCCTATTGTTTTGTACCCCTGAGACTTCTCCATTGCTGTGTCCCTACTGGACACAGACCCCAAACTCCACCCTTGCTTTACCCCATAAAACCCACTACCTTGCCTTTGTTCTTGGTTCTTTGGCTCTGGTTTATGCTTGATTAAATCCTGCGTTGGTGATGCCCCAATAAATGGATTCCCAAGTTTAACCAAACAGAGACATGTCTTGTTCATTTCCCACATCAATCACCAGTGGCTGCACCCTCCCTGGACATGACTTTGTTGCAGCACGATGCAACGGGACTGTGTTTTTAACATTTGGGAACACGTGGAGATGCTGGCTGGGCTCACACGGTACTCAGTGAAGAATAAACATACACTAAGATAACAGGGCTTGTCCCAAGGCAGCCCAGTGACCACATTCAGACTCTACTGGATTACTCACATTAAAATCACTGCAGAAGATAAAAACCAATCAGTATCTGACAGCGGAACTTGGCAGAGTTGATTGAAACATGCATGTTTCGCCCAAGGTGACACCTGTTTGTTTTCACCACTAACCTTTGTGATCCTGCCAATGCAGATGCTGCTCTGCTCTTAGCAGCAGTGTCATGAGGAAAGCCATCCCAAACTGTGCCTTCAACCAGAACTGGAAAGATAGGTCAGGGAAACAGCACTGTAATCTGATTTAACTGCCATTCAAAATGTCACAGTCTCTCCATTAATTTGAATGAGGATTGGACTAAGCCCAAATTACTGACCAAATTGCTGACAACAAAACAGGTTTTTTTTAATATTTTTACCTTTTCATTTAAAATCTTCCTGTTGAAGAACAGAAAATAACATTCCACATGTACCTCCATGTGGCTACAGCGCAACTTATGGTCTGTAGACCAGTTCAAAATTGACAGAATATCTGCTCTGCAGCTGGAAATTGGAACTCAACTTGACAGAATGCTACCCTCTCCTTGGAGCAGATGGTGCCGTAAAGAAGAGGAATAGCTCAGGACTTCCACAGTGTTTAAGTAGAGGACCTCTAGGATTTTCTTCTTATAGTGGAGAGTCTGCAGTTCCAAAGCATCTCACTCAGTTGGAAACCTCAAAGACCAAAGTAAGAAGAGAAAGACTATCTGGAATTAGATTCTCAAGCATCACAGCTCACTGATTTGATGAAGGCAAAAATGACTTCATATTCTGAAAAAAAAATATGAACAATTATCCGCCAAAGAAACTTGTTTTGGCAAATAATGAATGCCTAAAAAATATTGTTTGTATTGTGCAAAGAACATGTAAGTAATGTTTGTTAGCTCTCTACTTAATTAGTGGATCTAAGCAATGGGATTTTGCTGTCATTTGTGAATGTTCAAATTTTGAAACCTTGTTCTCCAGATGGAAAAGCTCCCAGGGGGTCATATAATAAACTCATTCAAATGAACAAAACAAATGACAAGTATCTTTACAAATGTGGAAAATGAGGGAGCTGTATGCATTATTTTATATAACTCTTGTTAAATGCCTTGGTTTACTTCTGTGGTATGTTTTCACTTGACTGCATATGAGTAACTCAAAAGAGGCTGTCAAGATGAGGAGCATAGAAATGTCAAATATATCAAACCCCTGTAGACATGATGAGGACCCTCAAAATGGAGGAGTCTTTCTGTCTAGCCATCCTGGTAATATTTATGCCTATCTGTAAATCTAAAGGGAATCTGAAAGCCCAAAGGAATAATAAGACTGGCCAAAAGGAGAAATGCCAGACAGCAGTTGGTGTGCTGCCAGGAATGCAGATACTGACGTGCATTTTTCCCAGTTATCTACATGCACCTGAGACAGAAGTGCAATCTGTCCTCCTTAGAGAAAAGGCACTCCCAGAGGATGATTCACATATAAGTAGGCTCCTAAAATGTAAGGAATTCTGAAAGGGCTCCACCCAGGCCTTCCACTCTTTCACAGAACTGCAGAGAAGCGGCATATTCAGCCCAAAAGATTAGGGAAGTGCAGCTGTACCTGCCACTGCTCTTGCACAAGCTACACCTGGACTCACCTGCTTGAGTAAATAGACCCTTCTGTGCAGGAGCACAGAAGCCTTTGCTGCTCTTGTTTCATCACCACAGGGCTCCACACACTTCACTGTCGCAACTAGACTTGGCAGAGATGGAGATCAGGGAAGATTGCATCCCTTCCAGAACAAGATTGAGCCATAGATAACATCTGAGCCCAGATACAGCACTGCTTTCATTCCCTGTGAAATACTCCGAATTCTTGGTAGAGGAGTGATGAATATGGTTTTGCTTTCCCAGTAATTTGCTGCTACATGGGCAAACAAAGTAAAGGTTTTAGCAGATGCCAAACCCAGCTGGACTCAACTTGTTGGTATGCTTGGGAGATGGGAATTTGGATCTCCAAAAGTCAGTCCTAGAATGGTAGGATTGTGCCAGTAATTCAGAGCAAGGTATGGGGACAAAAGGAGGTTAGTGGCCAGCCTGATCTGTGACCAGCTCTGATGAAAAAAAACTGACTACACAGACTGTGACAGGATTTAATTCTGCATGATTTCCAGCTCCTATTGGAAGATAATATACACCTCTTAATTTCCAAAATAATTTTTTCACAACACTACAAGGAAGAAGAGGGAGATATACTATAACACCTGCATGGTGTCACATGGCCTTGCTTCCTGGAATTTTTATATTTCCATCTGAAGTTTCCAGTTTTCCTGGACCAGAGATGACTATGCACTCACCCTACAGTTCTTACAAAGGACAGCCTTCACAGTGACACAGTGCTGCAGACTTACAGTGGCCTCCCAGGCCACCTGCATCCAGCTGCACCTAGGGAATGACAGCTTTGCAGCACTCTGGTCCATGGCTATAGTAAATCTATTTTCAAGACACCTGACTATTTAATTAGAAGCCAAACTTTCCACTTGTCTGAAAAACTGGTATCTCTGAAGACATTGAACACAAAGGTGGGATGTTTGATGGATGGAGGGAATTCCCTACTAGGAAACTGAAAATTTTAAACTTCTCTGTGAGCTTGGAGGTGGAGAGGAACCATGCACCATGAAGAAGCATAAAGGAAGACTGGCATGTAAATGGGACAGGCTGTTGCTGAAGAAGCTGGCCTGTTGCAAGCCTGTGAAAAAGCCAGAAAAAACTCAGTGCATAAGACATATCCCTGACAAGATGGTCTTACATACAGTTGCCTACTTCATTTTTAGTTTTACAGAAATGAGATTGTTTGGTAGTTATTGCCCATTCTATCTATCTGAAATATTCACTAAATAGAAAAGTTAGTGAACTATGGCTCAGGACAGCCAAGAAAGAACTGGTAGTTCATTAGTATTAAGTATGATTGCATGAACAGCTCTGGAATGGAAGCTGTACCAGGAAGGGAGTGAAACAAAGTGGAATATAAACAAAAATATTGTAATGACCTAAACAGCAAGACAGAAAGGATGAATTCCTTTAAAAAGCTGAGGAAATCAGTTTCCTCCACTTTTTTAAATTCTTCAAAATTGAATCTAGCACTGAATTTTTTCTATTTAACAAAAGCATAGGGCATTGGTACTTCTTTAAGTGCAGAATTTGCAATGCCATCACCATAGCTGAAACACAACCTAAATGATAATTTAGTCCCTGTTACAGGTCTTTCATCTGCTCTTGAACCTCATCTGTTTTCAGGAGCAATCTGCTCATCTTTCACACCCCAAAATGTCAGAAATCAAAATGTTATTATGTTGTAAGAACAACTGAAAAGCAAAGTCTTGAACTTGATAAGAAAACTATAACTTCACTTTATGTTCACAATTCTGCCATCCACAAAATGTAATTTAAAGACAGAATTTAAGAACTTTGTATTGGAAACACTTCGTCCTCCAAGTAAATTTAGCTCACAGTCCTTCTACTAGATTCTGCCAGTAAAAATAAATTAGAAAGAAATAAAGGAACAATAGGAAGAATATATATCATCTATTTCAGCACTTTTCATAAATGAGAAATAGAGCTCTAAGGGCCACAGTGGGAGAAATATATTTATACTTAATAATCATTAATGTGAAGAGCAAAGCATAGAATTGCAGCAAAACACTTGTTGAAAATTATATCCAAAAATTTTGAGGGAAATGGGGAATAAATTGCATATTATAGAAACAGTGATGGGTGCTCAGAAAAGAAGACAGTTAGAAACATTTTAAAAACCAGTGAGTGCAACTCCCCTTTCACTCTTACCCAGAGACTCTCTCCTTGGTCTGGCACCTGGGTTAGCTGGGCCAAAACTTTGTATTGGGATAGACAAGGCAAATAAGTCAGTGAAACAGAACATGGAGTTAAATCTTGAACAGGCAGGTTAACACTTCCACCAGTTCTTTTAATTACAGAATTGCAGATTTTCACTTCTGTGATTTGTGATTCAACTTTAAAGCATAAATTTACATTCCACCATATGTATTTTGTTCTTCCACAATGACTCTACATGACATTTTATAGCTTTTCACTGTGCTATCAGTACACTCCCAGAAGAAATTTTTTTTTCAAGGACTGAAAAAAACCACAACTCTGCAAAATCAGTGTGCCAATGCACCCAGGCCTGGGCACTAGACAGGAACAGAGAATATGTACAAAATGACACAACCCCCTCTTTGAAATTGTATTTTGTACCTGAGGTAGCACTGCTGGTCCTTGTCCTGCCAACCTCTGCAAGGAGCTGACCTGAGGAACCTTAATGGGTGCTGCAGTGATAGTTCCCAAAGTCTGTTGGAAGAAAAACATTTGAACACAGCTTAAAACAATTGCAAAGCTTTCCCAGACAGAATCTCTCCAAGCCAGCAGTTCCTTTCCAGCTCTTTTTCTCTTCCCAGCCACCCTGGCTGAAGGCTCTCTAGGCACCAGGCTGTTTTCAAAAGAGATTTGAAATGCACCACAGCGATGTGCATCGGTTCGATGATGTATTCTATGGTAGCCAAGGTCACAGAGAGATATTTGCCATGCCTCAGGAAATAGAAAATACTGAATTATTAAAATGGAAAGCTGCCTATAAATCTACTACAGTACACTGCCATAAAACATTCAGCTAAGATGATGCCCATTTGGGCCAGCACAGCATCTATTACTATCTATGTTTATTTTTGTTTCTCACCCTTTTCTTAGTTGTATATCAAATTTATTCAAAGCTTATTTATGACAGGATGGAATAAATGGAGAACTTATGATTGAGCCATATATGTAAAGAAGACAGCTGAATTTCAATTCATAAAATCATGGAATGGCTTGGTTTGGAAGGGACCTTAAAAATCACCCAGTTTCACCCCCCAACATGGACAGGGACATTTTCCACCAGACCAGGTTGTTCCAAGCCCCATCCAATATGGCCTTGGACATTTCCAGGGATGGGGAAGCCACAGCTTCTAACCAAAAGTTTGTACTTTGGTTAACTGGCCAATATTCTTAAGGCAAGGTTTTGTAACTTTCATCTAGCACTTCGTTATTCTGTTGGGACGACACAAGTGGATGATAAGCAAGTGGGACATAAGCAAGTGGATGATTGTCATTATAACAGCAAGAGACACTTAGTCACTGAACATAACATCTTATCAGGCTGTTAGAAATAGTTAATATGGAGAAAAATATAGATTCAACTGAATTTCTCTAAATTTAGCTCTGCTCTAAACCAAGGTTTTGGATCACAGCCAGCAAGACAAAATATGCTATTATTACCCCAATCTGGTAATGAAATTTGTCAGTAGAAAAGAAACTATAACATAATTAGCTCAAGGAAAGTGAAACTGTGTCACATCCATGCTATTATGTTCTCCTTATACCTCGCCCACAGAGTGGCAAAACAGTCTATTTCATTCTGTCTCCAGTGTTTGATAAGAAATGACAAGTGTATTCAGGCAGAATATTCTGAATAAACTTCTCCTACAGCGTTTATATTTTTACCTCTGCTACTCCTGTCAAAGACATTTGGGGGTGTGATGTTGCATATTCAACAAAGATTAACATTTGAAGAAGATTTGCCTGAGTAAAACAACAAGGAGAGCTGAACAGTTATAACCATGCAACACAATTTTTCTTGAGTACTCATGGATTACCAGTACCCTGGATTATCCATGAAAAAAATGTACTCCATTCAAATCCTGTCTCAAGCTAAGTGAAGAGGGAAAGGGGGGCAGAGAGGACAGCATTTCCATCCATGGATGATAAAACAAGTTACACTTCCTTTAAAATAAAGGTTCTGGCAGCAGGGTGAGGAACAGAAGGGATATTTCTTCCAGTTTCCTTATAGGGTGATACATGGACTAAAAACAATAGGAAGGATCTGACTGAACAACTTCGTTGCCCTGTATACCCTATCACTGCCTCACACATCAGCAAGAATAACATGCTGAGCTACTGCAGTCTGGGAGAAGGAGAAATTGAGCTGCCACCTGTTGCTATGGGCATTTATTAGACTTATCACAACTTCCTGCTTAATATTATCATGAACTGTAATCAATTCAGTCAAGATTCAGATTTTTTAGGGTAAATACTTAAGTTCACTGAAGTGAACTTTCCAACTCATGCTACAGAAAACTTATTACAAGTGGCATCTATATTTTCCTACTATCCCAAATGGGACTTCTTTCACCACACAGTGAAGTCCAAGGTTTACTAGGAAATATTGAGGGCACCACCACTTCTCCTGGGCTGTACAGATACCCTCTACAGAAAGTTAAAAACAAAAAGTTCTTCCTTCTGGAAAGTTGTGCCTTAAAGGCTGCTGCCTCTGACCTTGAAAACACACATTCTAATATTCCTCTTCCTACAGATACACAAGGATTTGCAAAGATTTTCAAGCTGGACAACAAAGTACATGGTTGGCATGGTAGTGTTCAGTCCGAGGTTGGACTTGATGATCTTAGATGTCTTTTCCAATCTTAATGACTCTGTGATGTCATTAAAATACCAAGTGCTGACACTGAATGAAATTTGGAATTGATTATAAAGATAAGAATCAAATTACTGAGATATTAAGTAAGATAGAGTTATCAATTGTTAAGATAAACAAATAACTCCTTGTCTGAGCAACAAAGCTCTTTTCTTGTATTACTTCAAATATCTCCAGGGAATAAGAAAAACAAACAAGCAACTAGAACAGAATGACTCTGTCCTGTGAGGAAGGAGCTCATGTCAGCCCCTGGGTGCACTGCTGGGCCAGTTCTGGTTCAGGTTTCAAAATAGAGAATGACTGAGACAAAAGAAATGGGAATGAGAGAACAAACAAGAAGCACCACAAAACTACTCTGCACTGTTCCTTCAGCTTCACTTGAAGGCAAAGTCAGGATGAAACATCTGTGGGTAGTAGGGAAATTAACTGCCATCAGTTATGTCACCTGCACTTCCAAAATTTAATCAATTTATTTTCCTGAAGTAGCAATTCTGCAGCAAACACAAAAGTACAAAACCAAATAATGGCACTCTTAAGTTATAAAACTTTCAGTGACAAAAATGCAGCCTTCTGTTTACAAATGGTTTTATAGTAAGGATCTGTTAATTAATATTTAAGGAAACAATCTCAGTATAGAAATCATATGGCCAAGGAAAAAAATCAAGAAAAAGAACTTCAATATGATGTTAATATTAGCACTACAGTATGTTCAGACAGAGACACATCTAAGAATCTACTTTATTTTTCACCATTTACATTGTTTTGTTATTATTTCTCAGCTTGGGCAATAAATAGCTCAAGCTATTCAAGAATTCAATGACCTCTGTACTTTTCCTGTAACACATTTCATCTGTTATGTCCGGGTACTTTGCCTAGGTCAGTATTATTGTCTCCTCTTAGTGAAAAAAATCTAGATTTAGTGGTAAAATGATAATGGTCAGGGCTAGACTGTTGTGCAGGTGGAAATGCAAACTAGATTTCCAGTGTCTTATCCATGTGACTGATTAAACTCATCTCATCCATGCATGGAGAGCTCCAGCCAAATGGCCAAATTTTTAGGCAGACCAGGATGTCTCCATGATGATGGGTGAAAGAAGTGAACTATGAAACAGGGAATTTCAGTGTGGTCTCTGCAATGAAGGAGGTGCAGGTGCCAGAATGGGTGGTTGGGCAGTTTGGCTCTGGGTACAATTTACACTGCTTTGTTCTTATTTAAGCTCTACATGAACAAGAAGATAAAACCACTTATGGGGGAAATAAGAACATAAGTGTCCTTATCTGATACCCTTGACCATGCAATAAGAAATGGACAGATTTCCCATGGCTCAGGCTATGACACATCAAATCCTGCTCACACTCCCCTTCGTACATCAGCTCAAGCTGGGCCCTCCGCTCAAGCCTGTGGGCTCCAGGAGGTGACTAATCAAGATACCTCCCCAACAAATAGAAAAATATTTTTGTTCTTCCTGTTAGCAAAGCCATCTGTTTTCATGCCCTGACACATGCCACGGTGAACCTGGTGGATCAAAGACTTGCCACTCAATAATTCCATGCTATCATTTTTATCCATGGGGCCGTTTTTCTTTTCTCCTTCTTCTTTTCCTGTTTATCTAAAGAGCAAGCTGGTGCACATTCTCATAAACCTCTAATTAGCCAGCTGAAAAGACATTTTTCTGGCAATGGTTGACCTTTAAGCATTTTGTATGAATTTATTGATACAAGCAGAAACAGTAATTTAAAAGATTATTTTATGAGTGCTGAATAGCAGCACTTTTGTAAAGATAAATGAGTTTCTTATTTCTACATTTACAGCTCTAAGCATTTTTATGAAAAGGTCCATAAAAGTCAAAGATATTTCTGAATCTCTCCTCTGTCTAAAGCTACTTGGGCTTTTCTGGCGACCCCCTGAAACATCTACAATGTGAAGGGATGGGGAAAGTGAATAGCCAAGTTCCAGTTATCTTCAGATTTAACTGTACGCATTTGAACCAGACTAACGACTTTATACATTTGTGTTTCTTTCAAATAAGAACAAATTCATCAGGTGTATTTCCTACTGTCTAATTTACATTCAGAAGCATTTTGGGAGCTCATGATCTTTTGCTAACTCTTACCTCAAGCTCCAACCCTGGACTAGAACAGAAAGCTCAACCACTCCATCCCTCAGAGCAGGATTTACTGGATAATGAACACATGTGGCTGGGACACATGCCACAGGCAGACAGGGATCTGGCATGTCAGGTACATGGTTTTGGTTGAGCAATCCACAGATGCTCTCAGACAGGAATGAAGCAGTCCCACTGTGGAGGGGACCTGCAATCTCATTGGGTAAATGTCATCCAGCAGCATGTGTTCCAAAGGGTCACACTTCAAATTGCAAAAACAGGTGAAGGAATCCAAATGAAATCATTCTTTTCACTGGTCAATTTATTCACTAAGAAAATAGTAATAACTTAAAATAGGAAAACCAACTCAAGCCCCCATACAAGAGGACACAGCTGTATTAAAAAAAAAAAAAAAAAGCAGTTCCTCCCATTCAATCAAAACAAAATGAAAAATTCAAGAGATATTGCTAAGTGCAGTTAAAAAAGAAGATCACTTCTCCTCATAATTTCTGTTAAAGCCTTGCATTGTAACTACAGGAGTAACCAACAGGAGCTGTATTCAATGATCCTTGTGGGTCCCTTCCAACTCACCATATTGTGTGAACCTCCTATGATTCTCCAGCAATGAATCAACGCTATCCCAAAATAAAGGCTTTCAAAGACAACTGAGGGGTAGCAGTGTGGGAAGAGTAGCAAATGGAAGACATAAAAAGTGAAAC